TTGCTGACTGCGGTCCTAACCATTGCGTCGAAGGATTTAGTTGACAGGCCTGAGATACACGAGTACTGTTCAAAATACATGCACGAGTTGATCTCGGGTATCGCTGCGGGAGCAGACTGTGACGTCGAGGCCGTGGAGGCTCTACTTCTCCTAGCTGAGTGGGAACCGCAAGGTCTACGGCCTCGCGTAGAGCGTGTTGGACGCGGAGAGGAGGACCGAGCTGCATGGATGCATGTTGGGCTCGCCCTGCGCTCGGGCTACTTCATCGGACTAGACCGGACATCCTTCCGTGGAGATCCATATGGAGATCAGGCAACTGAAGCTCGCCGGCGGCTAGCCTGGGCTAGCTGCTATGTCTCTGATCGGCTCATCTCCGTGCGGATTGGGAGAGCTTTCTGGTCTCGGGGACCGGGCCCAATGACCGGTCTTGTGAGTCAGGATTTCCCATCGCTGCAGCCAGCCAAAGAAGGTGATGAGGACTACTCAAAGATTTTTCAAGCAATGCTGGATCTTACACAACTCTATGGAAATGTCCACGAGGTTTTGTATTCTGGAATGCGAACCAGCAACCAGATGATGCTCATGGGCGATTACGTCAAATATGTCGATGACTTTCGACTCGCAATCCTACGGTGGAAGTCTTTGTGGGGACCTTTGGACTGTACGTTCCTCCAAACCTATCTTGACACGAGTATAGGCTAACCATTGTGTGTAACAGGCTCTCCACCAATGCGGGCTACTTTAGATCTTTCGTACGAGTACCTGCGCCTATATACGACTGCATTTGCCTTCCAGGCCGCGATTTCTCAGTCGTTAGTGAAGCCGAAGAATGATGGAAGCTCCCATCGTGAACAACTCAGGAGTACTTTCAAAAATGTCGCTTCGATGCAAGATTCCCGATTCATTTACGAGTCTGTCGATGCGGCGAAAGCCTATCTGACCATTCTTGTTGACTCCGTGGATCCAGAGCGGCATCTGCATTTTATGCCGCTGCGATTCTACTTGTAAGACTACGTTCCATCCAGCCCGCTCGATTCATCTACTTACCCGACTCCAGATATGGCATTTACTCCGCCGTGTTCCTCTACAAGGCTCGCTCTTTCGGCATGATGGTTCCTTCAGAAGAAGCCAAGGTTCAAGGCCTAGTCGCACGTACCACCGAAGTGTTGAGACAATCCAGCGCCGGTAAAGACGATATTGGATCGCGTTACTCTCGGTTGCTGGAGTTACTGTGGAAAACCAAATCATCCGTCGGTAATACATCGGCGGAGACATCTCGCAGCAATGACTTTGCGATGCAAACCGCACTGTCTAACCCGGTCACCGACCACACATATATGGACTTTAGTCCAGCGAATGATTTTTCATGGCTTGACTTGGAAGCTGTGGGTGACTATGTCTCCGGGGATGCTATTTCGGGTGGTCTGCTAGGGTTGGATGCGTTTCAAAATCCTTCCGATCCTTATCAGCCAGGTCAAGACCGGTCGCAGAGTTGGCAACCATCGACCTGGCTCGGTGATATGAGCAGCAACCTTCTCTTCTAGTTATTTATCTGTTCGTCCCATTTGGGAAATTCTCAAAGGCCGATCCATTTCGCGGATAATGGTGCGGGGCTGCGGAGCTCCTCCCGGAGATCGCCCCGACCATCGAGGGGTAACCGAGGCCAGCTGTACCACCTTCAGCAGCTCCAAAATCCCATTCAATCTTGGATCACGGAGTGACTTCTCTTTTCACACTCTCGCCTACTCCTCTTCAAAACCACCTATACAATGTCACTTAATGAGATCCAGGGCAAACTTGCCCTTATCACTGGCGCATCTGGCGGGTAAGCATTACTCCATTGACCTAGCTACGATGAATATTGCACAATGCTATCAATGCGTGGCTTGGAATTATAATGCGAAAAATTGCTAACGCGATCGGCTTGCAAATAGTATCGGAAGCGCATGCGCTCATCAACTCGCGCAAAGAGGAGTCCATCTGGCCCTGACCTACTCCAAGAGCCTGGAACCGCTCAATGCACTAGTGATTGATCTCCGCACCAAGTATGCCGAGAACAAGCTTCGCATCTCGATTCACCAGGTCGATGTAGGAGATGCCGATCAGATCGAGGCCATGTTCCAGCAAATTGACACACAACACGGTCACCGACCGGATATTCTTATCTCGAATGCCGGATACGGGAAACGGATGACCAACGTGTGGGAGATTCCGCTCGAGGAGTTCGATTACATGTTGACTGTGAACCTTCGCGCTTCATTTATCCTGGTGAAGGGTGTGGTTGAGCACATGAAGGAACAGCGGTGGGGACGTATCATTTTTATGTCTTCCATTGCTGGCCAAGGAGGAGGTATCAACGGATGTCGTAAGTTCGCGCTCTCTTGTCTTGTTTTTATTCTGTGTCTAACCTTTGCTCTTTGCTCAGATTATGCCGCTTCTAAGGGTGGCCTCACCGGAATGATGAAGAACCTCTCCAGCCGCCTGGCCGAGTTTAACATTAGTGTCAACGATGTCGCCCCTGCCATGATCGGTGAAACGGGCATGATCCCGAATGCCGCGGCTATTCCAGAGGTCGCAGCTGGTATTCCTTTGCAGCGCCTTGGAACACCTGAGGAGACGGCCAATGTCGTGACTATGTTGGCTACTACGGGATACATGACAGGCCAGAGTCTGTTGCTGGCAGGAGGGCTGAAATAGATTGCGGTACAGAGCTAGTACATAGCAAGAAGAGAAATAATCAAATTCAATTGTACAATCCCGAAGAAGTTACTTTCCAACATGACCTACTTTTGCTACACCTTAAGTTCTAGACCCTCTAAAAATCCATGAACCTCCCCCTTGGAACAAAAGTAAATTCAATGCAAATCATGATTCATTCTAAAATTTAATATATGCACTCTGAACATCCACAACCAACCAACTATTTCACATGGGTATTTTCAAGATCATCAACGTCATCACATCACACACAACTCCTTTTTAATACACAGCACATCTACAGAGAAGACTGCAGCTTACTCTCAATAATAACCTTGACAACAGGACGACCACTCTCATCAATACCCTTACCAGCAAGAGTGAAAGCGCGCGCACCATCCTCCAAACTCACCCGGTGGGTCACAACCTTATCCTCAGTAGCAGCAAGCTTACCACTGGCAAGCAGCGCAATAGCAGCGGGGTAAGCATGTCCATCATAACGGAATGTACCAATGACATCGACCTCACGCAGCGCAGCCGCACCAACAGGGACAGTCTGGATGGGATTACCCATACCAACCTGAACAAGCAGACCACCGGGCGAGGAGGCGTAAATACCCGCCTGTACGCAGGCAGGCACACCAGTGCAGTCATACACACGGCTAAAGCCAGTGATTTCCGAGCTATCAGCTGAATTGGCAGCCTCGGTTAAAGTCGCCGCGACGCTTTGCGCATTGGCCAGGGCCCAGGCGGTCTGATCTGCGTGAGGGGCGTCCTTGGGAGGAGGGGGGTTGGCGGGATCACCGCGCGGGATCAGAGCAGTCTTGAGACCGAGCGAGGCGGCGATTTCCAATCGGGCTGCGTCAATGTCTGCGACGAGGATTGAAGAGAAGTTTTCTGCGGCTGCGAGCGAGGAAGCGAGGAGGAGGCCGATGGCGCCAGCACCAAAGACCAATGCGGATGTGCCTTCGCCTGTGGTCTTTGCGGCGGCAACTTCTTCCTTGGATGGGGGGCGAGAGCGGCGGATGGCGTGCAGGCAGACGGCCAGTGGTTCGACAAGGGCACCACCGGCGTCGGACACGTTGGAGGGAAGAGCGTGGCACATATCAGCGGGGTGGTTGGTACGCTCCATGAGAGTGCCGTCGAGGTGGGGGAACATCTTTGCGCTGGAGCGGAATTGCATGGCTTTGCAGATGTTGTAGCGGCCTGATTTGCAGAGGGCGCATTTGCGGCAGGGAAGGCCGACTTCTAGGGCGACGCGGTCACCGACTTTGAGGGTTGTCACGTTTGGTCCGATGGCTGTGACGGTGCCGGCGGACTCGTGGCCTGGACACATTGGTTCGCGCACGACGAAGTCGCCGTTTCGGCCGTGGGAGTAGTAGTGCAGGTCGGAGCCACAGAGACCGGTTGCTTGGACGGCAACTTGGACGTCGGCGCCGGAGGGAGCGCTGACTGCTCGCTTCTCCTGGGTGGTTGTTAGTTTATTGACTCGTTAGGTAGTATATAGTGGATGCTAGTGGGAATTTAAGACGTACGACACGGAGATCCTTAGCGCCGTGGAGGACGAGTGCGGTTGCTGATGACTCTGCCATGATGGATGTGATGTGTGGAATGGATTGAGGTAAGGGAGGAGGTAGGATTGCAAGATGATGCAGATGCAAAAATGTAAATGTCAAAGTAAAAGCAAGATAAATGAGGGCGGCAGTTGGATGTTCCCCTCAGCGGAGTTGGTCCGGAAACCGTCCATTTCGGGGAATCTTCAATTGCCGACGTGGTTGACGTGGGGGAAACCTCATAAATCCTTTGAGTGAGTGGGGGTGCATTGGGGGAATCCGCGGGGGCACTGGATTATTTTCCGTTTATTATAGTTGATGGTGTACTAATTACAATGGTATTAGAGGGCAAGAGAAGATCTGGAGACTGGGGATATAATCATAAAATATAACTATAACTCGTGGTAGTGCTACTCCATCTAATCTCCTCTAGAAATGCCCGGAATCTGTCTTCCATTGCCGACCACCAAGTTGTGACCTCCCGCGGGGGCGTCATCCCAGTGGAGCTCCGCCGGCTTATCGGACTGGCACCACCCTGGGGCATTCATGCCCTTTTTGGAGTAATAACTCTCTGACCCCTCCATCTTTTTCTCCTTGACACTTTTCCTCTTTTCCACCTTTGCTCTGCTCTTCGATACCCTACCCTGCTCTGTTAAAAGTCTCTATTCCAGCTGTATTCAGGTAGGTGATGTGCTTCCCCACTGACATCATGCGTGTAAGCTCACCACCCCGCAGATTCGAATCTCCAACATGCCTTCCCAAGCTGCTCTCCTTATTGGAGAAATTACTCACGCGCGCAAGGAGTGGGAGAGTCTCTCCTCGCTCCTGGCCCTCAAGGTATGTATCAATTTTGGTTTTGGAAGAGCTGTCAGAGCTCCTAGTTAACCGCGCATAGGAATTCCCCAACGGAACTCGTGAGGAGTTCATCAAGAACTGCAAGGCTGGTCAGTACGACGACGTCGTTGCCATATACCGCTCCAATACCTCCAATAAAGTGTGTTCAACTCAATTGATCTTTCGACGGAACCACCCGTCCGCTAACTGCGCTTTTGCTAGTACACCGGGCCCTTTGATGCCGAATTGCTGGCACTCCTGCCCAGTCTCTCCGGTACATCTGCCACAATGGAGCTGGATACGATAACATTGATGTCCCCGCTTGCACGCAGAAGAACATTGCCGTTTCTAGCACCCCCGTTGCTGTAAACAATGCCACCGCTGATGTCGGCATCTTCTTGATGATTGGTGCGCTGCGCCAGGCTTATGTCCCGCAGGCCGCTCTTCGGGCAGGTGAGTAACATATGCGATGACCGCAGCTCAAGGTGCGTAAGACACTAACGGGTCATTGTAACAGGCCAATGGCACGGAAAGACTACCCTGGGTCGTGACCCTCAGAACAAGGTCCTGGGTATCCTCGGCATGGGCGGTATTGGACGGGTGAGTGCACCAATCCTCCCAGATTCTCATTAATAAGGTACACCTGCTAATCTGAATCCAATAGGAAATGGCAACTCGCGCAAAGGCTTTCGGCATGAAGATCCAATACCACAACCGCTCGCGCCTGTCCCCAGAATTGGAGAACGGCGCAACCTACGTCTCGTTTGATGAGTTGCTGGCCAACTCGGACGTCTTTAGCTTGAACCTCGCTCTGAATGCTTCAACCCGGCATATCATCGGTGCGCCCGAGTTCAGCAAGATGAAGGATGGTGTGGTCATCGTCAACACGGCGCGTGGGGCTCTGATTGATGAGAAGGCGCTGGTCGCGGCGATTGACTCCGGCAAGGTATATTTTTCATCCGCTCTACAATCGAAGTGTAAATTGGAATTATGCTAACTGGTGGTGATAGGTTGGCTCCGCTGGTCTGGATGTGTATGAGAAGGAGCCGCAAATCGAGCCGGGTCTGGTGAACAACCCTCGGATTATGCTGCTGCCGCATATCGGTACGATGACATACGAGACACAGAAGGAGATGGAGGTTTTGGTGTTGGATAATCTGAAATTGGCCGTGGAGAAGGGGGAGCTGATCACCCAGGTTCCGGAGCAGAAGCGCTAAGTGTAATACAAGATATCATAGAATAGAATGCATTTCAAGTTTCAAGTTGCAAGCGATTTCTAGAAAGTCTAAACTGTAGCTTCCTTTTATAGAAGCCAATGGTGGTCGGAAATCATTTCTTAGAATTGGTTAGCGTTGCTTCCAACTCGCCCATCTCTAAGTTAATCACCAGAGTTGTCTAGAACCCCGTTAATGAATGTGGTGGAAGATTGTGGGTCATAGAGTTAGTATGTAAGCAGCCGCCGGGGCGGAACAACAATATTCCACTTAAGGTGAACGGCCCACTTATTCAGCACGAGACCACATTATCTAAGCACCTACCATATGTGGCTAGCGTTAGGGCTTTAAGCGAAAAAAACCGCACCACCAACCCTGGTGTTCCAACGTTAGCGGACGGCCTTCGAAAAGCGACAACATCAACCCGACACCGAGGACCATCATTTTCCCCTCGCCAACTCCTTCAAGATGGTGAGTTCTGCTCCCCTACGTTGTTCCGGCCTTCGAAATATGCACTCGCGCGTCTCTATCCTTGTCCAATTCATCTCGAATCTTCGAAATGTTGGGCAAGCGATCAATCGCCTTCGCACGAACCCGACATGACTACCACCACCCCCAAACGACTATCATGATTGCTGACGACCTTCTCTCTACGATTTATAGGTCCGTTACGCCGCTCAGGAGATCGAAAACGCCAAGAGCGCTCGCGCTCGCGGCTCTTACCTTCGTGTCAGCTTCAAGAACACCCGCGAGACCGCCCAGGCCGTCAACGGCATGAAGCTGGACAAGGCCCTTACCTACCTCGAGAACGTCACCAAGAAGTCCATGGCCATCCCCATGCGCCGCTACGCTGGCTCCACTGGTCGCACCGCTCAGGGTGAGTACCCTCGAAATTTTTCTCTACATGTTGGAAGTGGACGGCAGCAATGGTGTCAATGGATCTCGGATTAAGAAAGCAGGAGGATAATCGACAGTTTCGGGGAATGTGGCTGGGCTGATTGTGTGGAATCCGAAATGACACTGACACTGTTGCGGCTCGAAATTTTCAACATATTATGCATCATGGCACACATCACAGCACATAGCATACATACATCATGGCATACGCCATAGTATATATGTTGTCGAACAGTTAACTGACAGCGTTCATCTCTAGGCAAGCAGTTCGGTGTCTCCAAGGCCCGCTGGCCCGTCAAGTCCGCTGAGTTCATCATCGACCTGCTGAAGAACGCCGAGTCCAACGCCGACACTAAGGGTCTTGATACCTCTAACCTGAAAATCTCGCGTATCCAATGCTCTCAGGCCCCTGCCAACCGCAGGCGTACGTACAGAGCTCACGGTCGTGTACGTTGACATTCAAACACAAAAAACGAGTCTTGGTGTTGTTAAGCATTTTCTGATACCTTTTCCAGATCAACCCCTACATGAGCCAACCCTGCCACATCGAGCTCATCCTCACTGAGGCCAACGAGCAGGTCGCCAAGGCCGCTCCCAAGGAGGTCGCTCATCTGTCTTCCCGCCAGCGTGGTACTCAGCTCCGCCGTGCTCTGATTGAGGCATAAACGGATCGCTAAGGGGAAAGGGGAACGATGGTGCGTCAGGAAAGAAAAGGATTGCGGTGGAATGGGTTGACCGGAGTTCTCGCGCATCTGTATGTTGGAACGGAATGATACCGGATCATACAAGATTTTTTAGGTCATGGCACCAACAACTTTCGGAGGAGAACCAAATAAAAAAGTTCAAACAGCGCGGTTCCGGAATGATGGACATAGGTTTTCTGTACTTCCCGGTCCAATCATGATACAAACGTGGTTTCTTCTCCATTATGATCTTCTCTCTCCAGTCTGGTAAATCTAAGAATGGTTTGGGAGGTCTTGTGTTCTAATTCTGTTTCTCTCAACCGGGCCTCAACGTCTGTACGAGCGCCTGAACGATGGTCTTCTTGTTCGCCGAAGTAATACATACGTTTTATGATTAAGGGGTCCTCTAATTCTGTAGTACCACTAATATCAGTATTTATCATCTATAGATTAGAAAATGTATGTTTCCGTTTTCTGCGGGAAACAAAGTACCATGACTCGAGCGGGGAGACCAGAACGTGCGGGGCACAACCTGTAGCTGAAATCCGATCACAACTACAACCATCAAAGTCCTAATCGTACTATATCACTTATATCTAAAGAGATACAACTATGGCCCAGCTCTCTGACTACCGTCTCCTCTGCTTCGACGTCTACGGAACCCTGATCGACTGGGAGGGTGGCATCCTCGCTGCTCTACAACCCCTCCTCGCCAACCAGAACCAATTCACCCGCGAGCAGCTTCTGACCGAATTCCACGAGCTAGAAGCCGAGCAGCAAAAGCTTACACCCGATATGCCGTACTCACATCTCCTCGCCACCGTCCATCCCCTGCTAGCTACACGCCTGGGTCTCTCTACGCCTAGCAAGGAAGCCAGTACGACATTCGGGGAATCCGTCGGAAGCTGGCCCGCGTTTCCAGATACTGTCGAGGCCCTCCGAAAGCTATCAAAGCACTACAAGCTCGTCGTTCTCTCGAATGTAGACAGGGCTTCGTTCGCTAAGTCCAATGCCGGCAGCTTGCAAGGTTTTCCCTTCGACAAGATCATCACGGCGCAGGATATCGGCTCGTACAAACCCGATGCGCGGAACTTCGAGTATATGAAAACGGCGGTGCAGGCTGAGTTTGGCGTAGCACCGGATCAGATCTTGCAGACGGCGCAGAGCCAGTTTCATGATCATCAGCCGGCACGGAGGGCAGGTATCAAGTCTGTGTGGATTGAGAGACCTGGGGCTACGATGGGGAATCGGGATGATCCTATTTTTGATTGGCGCTTTGCAACACTGGGCGAGATGGCGGACGCATTATAGGTGCCCATATGGCTGTTGGGAAAGAAGAAGAGCCCTTAATAAGTTGTAAAGCTACTAGTATAGCTAGATTTCTTTAAGTTACTACTAGGACTACACTACTACAGAGGATAGTACTAGTAATTAGTAAATTCATCTCTATCTAGATAGTTAAGCAGTTTAGTATTTCTCAGGCCCAGTAGCCTATTAAGTCTGTCCAATTGTTTATTAATTTTCTAAAGAATACCAAGTCCAGTACTAATACTAAGAATGTTAATGTTTCTAACTTAATTATCTAATATCTCTAATACTCTTAAGTACTAACTAGCCAGAGATACATATACTATACTTGTAGTTATGTATATTAACATTCTAACCTAACAAACTGGTCTTAGCGGTGATAGGTATTTTCTTACACCTTTTCCAGATCAACCTCTGCACAAGCTAACCTATAAAAAGGAATATAGTGTCTTAGAAGCACCCTCAAGCCTAGTATCCACAAAATATAGTCAGTCACCTCTAGGTTGGTCTAAGGACATCAAAGTTATTCACAACCGCATCGTTCTTCACAATATCCCACAAGCTTGCGACCTGCGCTGCCACCTCATTGGGCAGAGGCCCAGCTTTAAGTGCAGCAACAGTCTGTTTCACCTGGTTCAGACTGCTAGCTCCAATGACCAGTACGTCCCCAAGTCGTGCATCAAGAGCCGAATGAAACGCCACCCATCGATAAGCAAGCGCAGCCTTGGGGATCCCGGCCGCCTCGGAAATGGCATTCCACTTGTCCAATGCTTCAAAGAAAGCGGGTTTTCCGTATAGAGCATGATAGAATGAGCCCAACGGTGACGTCGGGTCCCAGCGGCCCTCTCCCTTCGTACCGGAAGTCAACTGGGCAGTGGTTTTGGTGAGGAATCCGCCTGCGATGGGACTGTAGGCATAGAAACCAATTCCATTATCGCGCAGAGTGGGCAGGATATCATTATCCAGCTGACGGGCAATCGCGCTGTAGTTTCCCTGGTAGACTTTCGGAAGAATGTAATTATGCTCAGTCGCCACACGCAGAACATCTTTGATTTCGTCGGCGTTGAAGTTGGACAGCCCAAAGTTGTTGAATTTGCCTGCTTCGTAGAGATCGTTGATCCCGGCAAGAGTTTCCTCAAGAGGCACCTTCGGATCAGGGGCATGGATATAGAAGTTGTTCACCTGTGGTCGTCAGTATGTGAACAAGTCTCCTATTTCAGGATGGATCTCACTTTCTCAACTCCTAGTCTTTCTAGGCTGGCGATCGCTCGCTCAAAGATCTCTTTTCGAGATGAGCTTCCTGGAGCAAATCCTCCGATATGCTTGGTATCAACAAGGAAATCTGACAATCCCTCGCCCTGACTAATGAGTCGCTCACTGGTGCCACCACCATAGGACTGCGCAGTGTCAAGTTGAGTGATTCCTTCAGCTTTGAGGGTCTCAAATAGACTCGAGACTTCTACAGCGTTTGAAAAGCTTCCATCTTCGGCGGTGATGGTCGCTCCACCGAATACGAGGGTAGGGATAGAGGCCATAGTATGAAGAATTGATTGAAATTGAGGCCGCTTGGGAGTGTTTGCTGTTGAATTGTAGTTACAAGGTTAGCCTACTTACCCAGAATACTTTAGTTACTTATATAACTGCAAAATTGCCGCGCTTTGAAATCAATTCGTGGCTTGTATGTATTTCCATACGGTTATACTGAGGGATGGGGAAGCCACGAATTAATAATCAGTCATGCTACCCATTCAGCACACAGGCTGCTGACGTCCAAGCCGTAGCTTATTCCAATCCAGGTTCAGTCTGTGCAGGTCAAAGTACCATCAGACCTTTGTTTCCGCTGTTTCTTCTCGAATTGGCAAGTGCACTACTGGTATGTCAGCAAGATCTACAATACTGTGCTTTGGATTCGATCGCCTTCTAGTGAGCGTTAAATTGCAGAAACTGGTATCCATGTCTTTTTGTTACGAGTCAGGCAGCTTTTAGCACACTACATCAATCTACTCCTGTTTTCAGTTTGCAGTTCTAAGTCCTCCCTCAGGCTATGAAAAGCTGGTCGGGTCTCTTCTGTACATTCTCCTGCTTCTAACAAGTTGTATGCAGAGCGGAGATGTTAGGGCATTCAACGAGAGCCACCCCCAGTACCCCGAATCGATCTAATATCATGAAATATACCCTCGACGCCTAATTCGGCGATTTGGTCGGTGATGAGGGTAAATCGACCCATACTTTCCAAATTTCCCGGGTTAGTACAAGCTGGTCGTGCCCTCGCTGACTTCGAGTGCTGTCAAGTAATCCCCGTTTTTTTTTCGTTTTCTCTCTCTTTCGGTTCTCCCACTTACTTCTCAACATTTATATGGTATTCTTCATAGAGGAACCCCATTTTTTCTATTCTCTCTTTTTTCCTCCCTGCCATGCTTTTCCAACAAATATATTTTCAGGACGGTAGGCACGGCCTGTGCGGGCCAGTCATGATGGGCGCCACCACCCTTACTAGTAGCGATTCTCTTGCAATTTCTGCGCACCCCTTGTTTCCAATACTTGGAAATTGATGGGAAGAGATCTTAGATCGCATCTTCATGACAGCGCCCTTTAATGATTTTTTTGGTCGCGTGAATACAAAAAAACATGGTTGCCTGTACCAGCAGATGCAGAGACCATAGCATAATCAGACTTGGCATTGCCTCAGCCACAATGCGTTGACGCGCATTGACTTGGCAAAACTTCCTTGTAGAAAAACTGTACATCGTGAGTTTTCATGTCGTTGAGATTGGAAATTTCTTTTTTGACTGGGCTTGTTGTTGAGAAAGGAAGAGAGAAATAGTTAAATACAGTACTGCCTAGTAACTACCGTAACTAAAAGTGCTAAAAATATCTCCCACGGACGAAAGAGCCTCAAAAAATTGCGGTAAGAAATCCGCTGACTCAGGAATTCAGACGATCTTGACGTACTACTACTAGTGGTATGTAGTAGTACTGATTTACCCCAAGATTAGGTTGTGGAGGTGCTGTGCCTCACGTTGTCCACGTAGTCCAGCAATGTGAGGCAACAGTCCAAAATCATTCCCTTTGCCTTTGCCACTGTGTCGGCTAGAGAGACTGGAGGTGCTTAGGCGAAGCAACTGGCTAGTACTAAAATTGATAATAAACCACTAAACCCCCCGGGGGCGCTTTTTTGGACCCCATCGCTTGTTTTGCTTGCACTTCTTTTCCCTCTCCCCTCTTCCCCTTTTCTAAAAGAACAAAAAAAACATTGGAAAATCGAAACCATGAAGCGCATTCTACCTAAAGGCCTGATCAGGCGCTCGAGTGAGTCGTTCTTCATCCCATTCCTATTCCCCCCTTTTGCCCCCCCGCAATCTTTACTGACCGCCGCAGCGACGGGTTCCGGCGCGAGCAGCCCCGACCAAACCGATCAGTCGCCAGAGGCCATTTTGCTCCGAGAACTGGTGTGTTGCATGGCTATCGACGATTTTGCTCTTCACTAATCACCTGCCATTCAGACCACCTTTTGCGAAGTGAGCAACAGCCCACAGAATACAGTATGTGCCATGCCTAGCGATGCCTCCCCTCCCGCCTGGTGCCTACAGTGATCTGGTCACTAACCGGAAACCTCCTCTCTCTAGCAAGGAAATGAGTTCGTTCACCTCCCTCTCATCGTTGAGAGCGCCGAGTCGAGCCCCGCCGCCGCCAAAGAGGCTGCTGTGCGCATTCGCAAATACCTCTCCACCCCGATCCAGACCCCGAACCATGTCCAGTACAATGCGATTATGTTGATGCGCATCCTCACCGACAACCCTGGTCACAGCTTCACCAAGAATTTTGACAGCAAGTTCGTCACGGTAATCAAGGAGCTCTTGCGGAACGGGCGCGATTGGCATGTGCAGCATTACCTGCGCCAGTTTCTGCATGGCCTCGAAACTAGCAAGGCAATGGACGAGGATTTGCAACCACTACTGGCGATGTGGGCAAAGGAGAAAGCCAAGAGCCAACGCCAATATGTAAGGACTCCGGCATATTGACTCCATCTCGGGAACTCCAGACTAACTTCATGTGTGGCAGACCACCCCGTACCCTCCCAACTCCATGGCACCAATGCCGTCGCAACGACCCCAGGCTCGCCCGCCGCGACACCAGCTTCCAGATCCTGGCGAGCTGGCTGCACGCATTGAGGAAGCGAGAAACTCAGCGAAACTTCTCACCCAATTTGTCCAAACTACCCCGCCAGTGGAGATGGAAGGAAATGAATTGATCAAGGAGTTTGTGGACCGTTGTCAGACCTCGTCCCGCCTCCTCCAGAGTTATATTCACTGCAACAACCCGCCGCCAGATGAGGCTACCCTCCTCACTCTAATTGAGGCCAACGACGAGATTTCCGTTGCCATTTCTGGACAGCAACGCGGCCTGTTGAAAGCGCGCAAGGCTCGCGGCTCGGCAACCACCTCTCCTGCTTCCCCTGCCTCCTCCAACGACGCGACTTCGGCCACGCTCAACCGTCCTTTCTCGTCGGATATCCCTCAAGAGCCACAGGGTCCAGAGTACACAACCTCCCGACTAAGTGAGCTCCCGGCTCCGGCTGCAGCCATGTCGGGTGGTGCTCGCTCGGAAACGAACACAAATCAAAGCACTACTATACCGAGATCCAACACCGAGCGATCCGAATACAATTCGGCCGATTTCGAAGTGCAGAATCCCTTCGCCGATGACTTTGCCACGCACGATTCTGACAACGAGCGAAACCACGCTCCGGGTGCGGCGGCGCAGGGCACCCGTGTACACGCCCCAACTGCAGAGCAAGGGCGTTGAGTGTACAGGCGGTTTTGCATAGCCTTGTACTGTGGTTGAAGTGATACCCCATACCAGCGTAAAATTCGATTCCCAACAGCATCTCTTTGTGTCATGTCTTGCTTTTTTGGACTTTCATTGGCTTCAGCACGCATATTTCTTGATACCTCAAGCGCTCGTTATAAATCCCTACAGAATTGGTTAAGAATTATACTTCGCTGCTTTATTTCCAGTGAATACTCATTAGTGGGCCAACAATTGCCTTTGTCCATACTATCAACTCTATAGTAACTATTTCTCAAAACAAATTGGTGTTGGCTAAATTAAACCGTTGTTTCACTCAGATACCCAGCACTGAATGGGTAGTCTGAATACCCAACCGCCGACCCAGAGACATAGAAAGTCTCTCTATTGTACGCGCTCAGCTCTAGACCTTTCCTGGCTCTATATACCAGATCTGGGTTCGAAATAAAATAACGTCCAAATATGACGATGATGTCCTTAGAGCTCTTTTTCTCGACCAGTTCGTGAGCCTCTTGTAGCGTATAGCCACCAGCGACAAGGAAAAGGCCGTTCCACAGATCATACGCGAAATCCAGACCCTCATGACCAACAGACTCATTAGCCCCGGAGATCCGCGACTCGACAAGGTGCAGATAGGCCAAGTCGAACTGGTTGGCCTTATTGATGAGATTGCTGAACTGCGGGATCGGATCGACCATTCTCATACCCTGGAATGTACTCCAAGGACTCAGACGAAGTCCAACGCGCTTGGGACCGATGGCATCAACGACAGACTCGATCACTTCCTGTACCAAACGGCTTCGATTCTCCACACTGCCGCCATATTCATCAGTTCGATCATTGCTGACATCTTGAATGAATTGATCAAGGAGATAGCCGTTAGCACCATGGATCTCGACCCCATCAAAGCCCGCCCGAATGGCATTTTTCGAAGCATCGACAAAATCCCGGACTGTCTGTTTGATCTCGTCCAGGGTCATGGCTCTAGGTACTGGGTCGCCCTCCTCAATTGGAGTCGCGCTAGGTGCGACAATATCAACCCCTTCTTGCCGGGCTACCTCGACATCTGCAGCGCGGCCCATTGCGAATAGCTGGCAGAATATGAAACATCCTTTGCGATGGACTTCGTCGGTGATGGGTTTCCAGGCAGTGACTTGCTCTTCGTGCCAGAGTCCTGGGGCATGCGGGAATCCCCCGCAGGTTTCTGATATGAATGTTCCCTCGGTGATGATCAGAGTACCGGGTACCGCGGCGCGTTGGCTGTAGTATTCTTTCATCAGGGGTGTTGGGACTCGATCTTTACTTGCTCGTAAGCGAGTGAGGGGTGCCATTCCGATGCGATGGTTGATTTTCATGTTTCCTATATTCAAGGGCTTGAAAAGACGTTGTTCGGACATGGTTCAGAGGGCGTGGATTTTATGAGCCTGAAAATGAATTAAACTTGAAGAATTGGTGATTCTGCACCAGGAAATTTCGATTACTTATAGTCATTTCTCATGGGAATTTCTTCATCGAAGTCGGAAGAATTTTTTGGACTCATCTTATACAATAATGGTAGAGAGTTGCATCCTAAAAAGGAAACAAGATACTTCTCGTTAAGGAAAGGTCGAAGTTTATACGTTCCCAACCAATAGTAGTTATGCCAGTGGGGCACGTCACCAGTACTTTACTATAGCTCAGGCCATCGGCATTTCAATGGTCGATGACAAAGATGGGAATTCAATGTTTGGTAGCAGGGAGAGAATTACTAATGATTGGAGATGAATTTATCCAGGTCATGGGTAGCTGCCAGAAAGCTACCTAAATTTAGTCTCGGGCGCATCTATTAAGGCATAGTTGCGAAACTTTCCCTCCAAAATGATTCAACTTGAGATGCAAATGCTTTTTCCGACCAAATGAATCCCTTGAGAATTTCGAGCAGCTCCGGCCACGATGTATACAATTTCCTCAATTTGATGTGATTTGAATGCACTAGTGCCATATACCCTGCGCGTATGGATCCTACCGGAGCAAAGGCGCCACCGATGTGCAAAAGCCAAGCTAACAAATCGGGCGAAACATCCCATAGAGGATCATTATTTGTAATCTGTATCTTGGAAAGTAGTTGTAATGAAATATAAGACTGATCATATTCGTTAGCATAATCCGATGAGCCACGGAGAGAACAGAGCCAAGGGGTCACCTTACTGGAAGAGTTGAGCATCGCCAAATTTTGCAGCGCAGCATAGCAGAGCATAGATATGCCGCTAAGTGGCAGCATTCCGAGATAGATGAGTGATTCGGCAAGCTCACCAGTCTTGACTGTATCGATGCCTGGTGATTGTCGATACGCGCCATCGAGATTACGTCCTCGCGGCCGAACAAAGCAGAGTCTCGGATGCATTGCAATGCGAAAATGTCCCTGAGTATTTCTAAGAAGCTCTCGCCCAGTAGAGCCGAGTGTTCTTGGAAGCCGGCAGGGAGGATGAAGAAGGTTGGAGCAAAAGGATCTCTTTTCCACTGGAGTTCGGCGAAGGTTGTGTGATCAACGATTCGATGACTTCCTGTCATAACCGAGGTATTCAAGTCCGACCTGTTGTATATCATGAGACGAGGAATTTTAATAACCAGATAAACAACTCGGATTTACCAAAAGATTGCGCGTTTGATACCATCGCTCAAATAGACACCTAGTCTTTGACATACGCCGAGAATTTCCTTTATTGCGCTCATGTGAAGCTGAACATGATTTGGTATCCCCAAGAGAGCCTATAGTACGAAAATAAAAAGCAACAGTCAATTTCATGAACTACTAGTATAAATTTAGTAAATCGAGAGATACACATACCTCTATTCGGGCAAGTAGTAGAATGGCTCCTAAGGTAGATTCAGTGGTAGCCTTCTCCGGATAACTCATTCTGTCACGTATATAGCTCATTGTTTGACTCTGATACCCAAGGCATTCTCCATTCAGATTTTCTTCACCGAATGAAAATGAAAACGTGAGCATAACCGCGCTCAGCAGTGCGTGGTCATTTGACCCACTCTGAAGAACGGAGTGGAAGTTTCGGAGTACAAGCTCATCCGAAACACTAAGCATTGGCCGAATAGCCTGCCGATCAAATTCTATAATAGAGAAACTTCGGGTAAGAACCTTCCAGGGCCTGGCTACTTTGGGCAAGTCTGCAGATCTTACGTTGATTTAATGATGGCTGTTGTTCCGGTGATTCCGCAGCAAGCATTCGGAGCAGATCGACCGCACAGGTACGAGAAAGAGAAGCCCCAGGTCTGGGACTCGTGCACGGCCTGTCCTTATCCTTTGTACTTATTGGTTGCCTATGGCCATTTTCGGGAGAAAATGTGTTAAAATTGAGACCTGCCTTTTGCCGAAGCTTTCGTTTGTTCTGGAGTCCGCGAGCTATAGCATGTGAGCGGGCCAGATGATTTCTTGTGCGGTCGGTAGGACCTTGTATAGAAATGAAATGGAATTGGTCGCCTGCGCGAAAAAGTCAATAAAACTATAGGGTACGAGGCGTGCGCTTGGGGGCACGTACTGGATCTGAGATCGTTTTGTGTAGCCATTAAGTTGTGTTGTCTTTCTGGAAAATCTTGATTGCTGCTGAATTGCTATCGAGTCTTCGGGCATACGAATCATCTATGATCGCAGTATGAGACGGGCGGAAGAGTATCAGAGTTCGACGTGGTGTCGATGAACATGATGGCGGATTACAAATCGAATCTGGAAGGTATCCCATCAGTCCCCGACTCCCGGCTGATATACTCGAGCTCCCTCATCCTATCAATTTTGGTCCACACATTGACACATTGAACCCTCGATAAATCCCGTGAAGAGTTTATCTACCTCCGTTGCAAGGCATAGATGCGGGAATGAGAATTCAACCGAACGGACTCTGAGTACAAAGCTGCAGATGACGTATCAATCCACTACGCAAACCTGCAGCCCGAAGTTTCAGGGATACACCGACCCGCAAGACTCCGGATCAACCTTCATCAAAAGTAGATTGAGAGGATCTCCCGAGGCTGAAAATGGCGAGGAGTCCGACCATCCAACGTTCGGGACCCACGCGTCCCTTAAGCTGCTCTAGCCATACCACCAACACATCCTTGCGCAAGCTTCGATCCTGATTCCTGACCTTACAGGGCCCATCCATTTCCTATACTATTTTCCAGCAATCATGTCGAACCTGATTCAACTTCGACTGGTGGTCCCATCAATCTGAAACTGTCAAGACCCCTGCTCGGCGCGTGGAGCGAGCCTTGGCAGGCCCTAAAAACGCCTAAGGGAGAACTTCGGTCTTGTCCCGGCTGCGATTCGTTCACACAATGAGCAGAGCGACCGAGGGATAATGCTCCGAGAACCTGAGACCTTGAAGACATTCCCGGTCTCACCACGCGCTTTTCGGTGGAGGAGCCCCGTTATCTTGGGACATCAATGAGGGGTTCAAGCGTTTCAGGGTACCAACTAGCTGCATTTTGCCCTAATGACAGCTCCGAATAAGGCAAATTGCCCTTTCTTGGTACTTTGGACTGTCTGAACTTGATTGAGCATGGCATTTGACGGGCTCGAGATCGACTCCAGGTTCAACCGGAGGGAGAAAGGGGTCGACGTCTATATAACAGACCAACCCCAGCGTCGCTAGCTCTGGAGACATCAAGCCGACCTTTTCTTGAAACTTTTTGTTCCTTCCTTTCTTTTATTACCTCCGGTCTGGAACCGTGAAGCCTTTCACTTTCATTCGCTATATACAATTCAACGGTACCGGTTTACCGATCATTCCATTCTTTCGTTCCGGACAGTCGACACTCGATCCGAACATCCAAAATGAAGCAATTCACTCCCATCGCCGCCCTCGTGGGTCTCATCCCCCTGGTCAACGCCCACGGTTTTGTCACCAGCCCAACTGCCCGTATGCCTGGTGATGCCATGGCCTCCGCCTGTGGTCAACAAGTCGAAATCAACCAGCAGTCGGACAACTACGGCAACATCCAAGGTGAACTGCAGGTCGCCAATGGCCAGAGCGACTACAGTGCGAGCGAGTGCGATATCTGGCTTTGCAAGGGCTACAAGTTTGCCGACAACAAGGACAACGTCTACTCCTACACTGCCGGTGAGACCGTGGACTTCACTGTTGACATCCGTGCCCCCCCACACCGGTGTTGCCAACGTGTCTGTCGTCGAGACTTCTTCCAACTCCGTCATTGGCAGCCCTTTGATTAGCTGGTCTGTCTATGCCTCGACCGCTACTGGTGTCACCAGCAACGAGACCGACTTCAGTGTGACCATGCCCGATGATCTTGGTAGCAAGTGCTCTACTGCAGGTGACTGTGTGCTGCAGTGGTACTGGTACGCCGAGTCCATCGATCAGACCTACGAGTCTTGCGTTGATTTCACTCTTGGTGGTTCCGGCTCTAGCTCCGGCTCCAGCTCTTCTGGCTCCAGCTCTTCTGGCTCCAGCTCTTCTGGCTCCGGCTCTTCTGGCTCCTCCAGCTCGGCTGCGGCCGAAACTACTGCGGCCCCCCTCTACCTCTGCCGCCGCCGAAACCACCGCTGCTCCTGTTGAGACCTCTGCTACCCCCGTGCTCTACGCTACCACAACCTTCGCTACTCAGGCCCGTCAATCCGCTGCGCCCTCGGTCGAGGTACAGACTGCCAGCGCCGTGGAGACCACCGCTAGCTCTGCTGGCTCCGTCCAGCCCATCCCCACTGATGGCACTGCCCAGGAGCAGCTGAGCTTCGTTGAGTCTATCATGAAGTACCTGGCCAACAGCGAATAAGTGTGAGAGTTAAGAAACCGTGCATGCCAAGAAATTGACCCCACAATTCAGGGGGCATGTTTATACATAGACGGGTGAAAATGTCAATATTATATTCTTTGGTCGGTGAAAATCTTCGTTTTCCATCGTAGAAATAATTCAATAGGCCTTGGCCTTTTAAGGTAGAATCAAGCGTTACCAAGGAAGCATACCAAGAAGTGCATCTGCATAAAATAGCCGTGACTGATCGGCTAGCCCCACATGCACAATCTGATCCCTGTCGTCTTGTCCCTTGTTCAACATCATTGTGAGACTTTATCAGTCTGCTGATTTGGGCCTCCTTGGGTTCCTGGAAGTTAGAAGAGCTGGAAGTATAATTTATGTATACTTTATAGAATGTACTTTATCAACCGATTTCTTCACAATTTGATTTTTGTTCTGTCGATCCGAGTGGAGCCCTGCTTCCTATGACTGGAGATTGATACGATAGGCGGTAGGCACAGCCCCCTCACAAAAAAGTCCAAGTGCCACCTTCATCCAGTTTCTTTCACCGGTCCCCCCTTGGTTGCTTATTCCTCAACATCCCCCTTGCTCTGCCCCCCATTCCGACGCCAGCTCAAGCTTGAAGGTAGCATACCTTCCATCTGCCCATCATGGAGGAACATCTACGTCAGAGTCTCTCCAACCACCCGAACGCCTTCCAGCATTTCCACAGCAGCTCGCCCCACTCGTCGCATAGGTCCCACGACAGAATGACTCCGCGCCCTCAGCAGGAAGGCACGTCCACGGCCATAGAGCTTGAGACTGACATGAGCCAGCATCGCCATGGCAGTTCTGATGAGGAGGGAATGCCTCCACCGCGCTATACCAAGGACACCGACCCGTTCCACCTCGCATCCAAGTTGAAGACCGAGGAGGAGATCCGCCAAATTAAAGCCAACACTAGCCGCAAGCGCGACTCCGCCTCTCAAAGGCCCAAAGTCATCGAATTGGTCCGCAGTACTGGTGACCGCGGCAAGGCGGCCCTCACCACCCGGAAACTGCAGGGCTTCTACGAAAATCAGAACGAGAACATCGAGCGCATGCTCAAACCGGTTGAGGAACATGTACGGGAAGCGCGCGACCTGAACGAGGAAAACAGCTTGAAGTACAAGATCGCTGTGTACGCTAGTTTTGCCGCCAACATTATCCTGTGTGTTGTTCAGGTGTACGGTGCCGCCTCGTCCGGATCTCTGTCCCTGTTCACAACCATGGCCGACGCCATCTTCGACCCCATGTCCAACCTGACCCTCCTTCTCTGCAATAAGGCCGTCAACCGCGTTGATCCCCGCAAGTTCCCCGCCGGCAAGGCTCGTATCGAAACGGCCGGAAATATCTGCTTCTGTGCCCTCATGACTGCCGTCTCGATGATCATTATCGCCTTCTCCATCCGTGAGATCGTCGAAGGCTCTGACACCTTGGTCGCCGAATTCCACCTCCCCTCTATCATCGCTGTCTCCGTTGCTTTCTTCACCAAGCTTGGGCTGTTCCTCTACTGCTTCGCTCTGCGCAATCAGGTCTCTCAGATCCGAATTCTGTGGGAAGACCACCGCAACGATCTTCTCATCAACGGTATTGGTGTGATGACCTCTATCCTGGGTAGTAAGGTCCGCTGGTGGATCGATCCGCTGGGTGCCATCATTCTGTCATTGATTGTCAGTGGACTGTGGCTGCACTCTGCTTATGGCGAGTTCCAGCTGTTGATTGGTGTCACCGCGGATACCAAGATGCAACAGCTCATCACTTATATCTGTAAGATTGCCTTCCGTCTCCCATCTCATCTTTTCGTCTTGAACATGCAATACTAATCTTCACACAGCCATGACTCACTCCCCTCTCATTACGGCCATCGACACAGTCCGAGCTTACACCTCCGGCCCCCGTCTTCTCGTCGAAGTCGACATCGTCATGGAGGCCAACGAGTCTCTTCGTGCGACCCACGACGTGGCAGAGGAGCTGCAAATCAAACTCGAGTCTCTTCCAGACGTGGAACGTGCTTACGTGCACGTTGACTACGAGACGACTCACAAGCCGGAGCACTTTTTGAAGAAGGAGCTCTAAATCATAGCCACACAGCTTTATTTTGGATCTTGAATGTAACATATTATTAATACCGGAGTTAGAAGACATAGCTAAAATAGCTCAAGCTTGTCATGGTGCATAGCGTCGACTTGAAAAATGTCCAGATTTTTATTTTCATCCTATAAGCCTTATTTCAAGTTCAAAAGTAAACGTCAAAAAAGTGTCTACGGGTAAAGAGAGATTTTCGATTCTCTGACGCTTAATTTCGTCCTCCCTCTCGCCCGTGCCCCCTTTCATCCGTAGAATTCCATTGATTCCCGCCTCTCATACACTCTAATCTTGAAATACGAGGTGACGTCCGGACTCGTTGAAAATCTCGCAGGTGGACGAAATCTCGGACTCCCACGAACCCGAGCTCACCACTCAGACCTCCAGCTCGGGCGACTCCAAACCCCGAGCAAAAACCAGTGGGGACTGCCCAGCGACTATAAAGCTTAACCTGTCCGACGCAGGAAATTTGAACTAATATTTCTAGTACAGGCCATTTTAATGTCCCGATACTGCCCTCCACGCCTCCACTAGCCTCAGCAGTCCAACATGACCAAGTCCACATCGAAATTATACGACGTCATTATCGCCGGTGCCGGACCAGTCGGCCTCTTCCTCGCCTACGAGCTCGGTCTCCGACAAATATCAGTCCTAGTCCTAGAACGAACAGCACAACAAGACTCGCCATGGAAAAGCGGGCCTCTAGGTCTCCGAGGCTTAAACATCCAATCCATCGAAGCATTTTACCGCCGCGGATTACTAGGCAAATTATTCAATCTGGACGAAAGGCCTAAATACCAACCGGGCAAGAAACCAGGATTCCAATTCGGCGGCCATTTCGCCGGCATCAAAATCAATGCCAACCAGTTTGATTTGCAACGATGGAAATACCGTCTTTCGGGACCGGCGCTTGGTCCTGGACCGACGACTATGGACCAGGTGGAGAAGGTTTTAACAGAGCGGGTGGAGAGTCTAGGCGTGAAGATTCTTCGAGGTCGATCTGTGAAGTCTATCTCGCAGGATGAGACGAGCGTTACGGTTAATACAGGGGATGAGCATGTCGAGTCGTTTCGGGGTAAATGGCTCGTTGGCTGTGATGGTGGTCGGAGCGTTGTTCGAAAGGAAGCCGGCTTCGGATTTGTCGGGACAGATGCTCAATTCACCGGATACGCAACTCATATCGATATAGAGGGTCGCGATAAGTTGAAGCCTGGATTTAACGTTTCCGAGACGGGCTTGTATATCAACGCGGTGCAGAATGGTGCTTTTCATCTACTGGAATTTGATGGTGCGAGCTTCGATCGCTCCGGTGATATCACGCAGGATCACCTTCAGCAGGTCCTTGATCGAGCCATTGGTCGGTCAGATGTGAAGATTACAAAGGTTCATCTTGCTTCTTCTTATACCGACCGCTCGATGCAGGCTGCAAGTTACCGGAAGAACCGCGTTCTTCTCGCCGGTGATGCAGCGCATATTCACTCTCCGCTTGGCGCGCAGGGACTGAATGTCGGACTGGGTGATGCGATGAATCTGGGGTGGAAGCTTGCGTCTATAGTTCAGCGTGACGAGAGTGTTGATAATACGCAGGATCTGTCTCTTCTCGATACCTATGAGAGCGAGAGACACCCTATTGCTGCGTGGGTTCTTGATTGGACTCGTGCGCAGGTCACAGCGCTTAAGCCGGATGCTTTTGGTCGGGCTACCCGTGCCCTGACGGAAGATCTGATCAAGACCGATGATGGGGCTAATCTGTTTATTGATCGAGTCTGGGGCCTTTCCCAGCGGTATACGCTTGGTGAAGAGCCGAGACATGCACATCCGCTTGTTGGGTCTAGTGCGCCTGATTTCGAGTTTGGGGATGGGTCGAGGCTTGGCTCGAAGCTTGAGGAGGGTCGGGGTCTACTTCTTGATTTTGGGAAGAACAGTGAACTGGAATCGGTTGCTCAGGGGAAGTATTATGGGAAGGTAGATTATCTTGCATTGGAGGCGAAGGAGAACTGTGGGCTGAGTGCCTTGTTGATCCGACCTGATGGAATCGTTGCATGGGTGGTGGAAGACAATGCGGAGCACGATATTGATGGTCTGAAAGCTGCATTGGGAGACTGGTTTACATTGTAATTAAGATTGAATACTCTAGTATAGACGAATTTACACTAAACAATCTCCTCTCGCGCTGTCTTTGTGCAACAAGTATAAGTGCAGGTAGACCCACTTCAAGTGGAGACGGCAAACAGATACACATTTGGAAGGCGTGATGAATGGCAACAACAAACGGGATAAAAGGAAGGAGGGAAGGAGGAGGGCAAGCAAAATAGTATTCCCGGTGCTGGTTTTGATCTCTGGACCTGCAAAAAGCAAAAAGGTGATGGAAGGCAGCAACTTGCGTTTCATTAATCAACCTCATCACTCTTTCCCCCAGATGGGTAGGCCCAAGACCCCTACACCATCCAGGGCTACGATGCCAGGACAGTCCTGACTTTGATCCTTAACTGATATACTGCCCACTATTCAGTGGGTTTCCACATTTATTGGGTTGTGAATAGCTTCAACAATGGATTACAGCATGGAGAGGCTTATTGGGTCCAGCCGATAAAGACCTCCATGTGCCCCGTCCTGTTCAATACGGTATCTCTATGATGCCAATGATTCACTATGGCAAATTCAATACAAGAAAAGCATGGAGAGCTAGTCTACAGCCTAAAGTTCAAACACACAGTAATATTGTTGGCATTTACTCATTGCATTGATCGCACATCTATTATTGATCACATCATTCCAGTGGTATCAAACGAAACACTCCCAAGTAACTCGTCCAGAGCATCCCGCCAAGAAACCAGGAACAATCTAAGAGAATAAGAAAAAAAAAAGAGTCAAATGACAAGCCAGGTTCCAGAAATACAGGACCATGGAAGCGGTATGATGAACACGGCGAAAACAGGTGAGAAATGAAAAGATGATTATGGGGAGAGAAGAAGGGTATCTCAGGTGCTGTCAGCCAAGACTGACTCTAGACAGACTGCTCGAAGAGAGCAATTGTCGAGCAGTAGTTGCTCGTATTTTCGGCCTCTGGCACCATGCTCTTGCCCTGGGAAGAGGTGACCATGTTGACGGAGGCCTTGGTGCTGAGACCATAAATGTGAACGTCGGAGCAGTCAACCTCGACCATGTTCTCCTGGCAGTCCTCGGAGTTTAGGCAGGACTGCGCGTAGTTCTCGAAGAAGCTGTACAGACCGGCACCGTAGATGAAAAGATCGGACGAATCGAGGACACGGAGACCCCAGGACTTGCGGCAGGAGGCGGTCTTGCAGGTAGAGAAGTCAGGGTCGTTCCAGGAGGACTGGGGAGTGTAGGGAACCAGAGCAGTGGGGTTGGACTGGTAGTAAGGGGTTTCAGTCTGAATGAGACCCATAAAGGTATTCTTAGCGCTGGAGACCTGGTAGTTGTAAAGCTGGTGGTGCTCAGAAGATGTACCCCACAGCCAGACGGGGCTTTGCGACTCAATGAGCACACCACGGCCAGTGTAGATGTTGATCTGAGAGTGGTCGGAACGGTCAAGCTCGTGATCGGCGGTCCAGTACCAGTTGTTCTCGAGATAGGCGCTGGCCTTCTCAGTAACGTGCAGAAGCATGAAAGCGGCCATGCACTCTTCCTTGGGGGTAGTCTTGACCGAAGGAGTCTTCTTGCAGGTATCACTCTGGAGACCAGTACCAGCGGCACCACCAATGCGGAAGTGAACATCCCACATACCAGCAGATCCCTGGGAAGAAGCACCAAGGTTCCATTCCATCAAGATAGCACCAGGAGCGGCGCCCTTGGTGGTGATGATGAGGTCGCTCATCTCAATGGAACCAGACTCGCCCTTCTGGCCAACTTGGAAAAGAGGGACCGGGTTCTTCTGGTCTTGGAACTTGGCACCGTGAGCCATGAGCATGGGCCAGATTTCACCAGTGATGCGGACGTTCTTAGGGATCTTGATGGTAGAGGTGATAACATAGGCGCCGTGGTCGAAGTAGACAACCTGGTCAGAAGTAGCACTATCAAGGACCTTCTGGATGGCCTTGGTATCATCAGTAGAGCCATCACCCTTGGCTCCGGCAGACTTGACACTGATGAAAGAAGAAGCAGGAACATCCTCGTACAAAGGCTTGGAGCGCTCGAAGACAGCACCGCCATCAAGGAGGCCATCCGGCATAGTGGAGGACTTGAGGGTACCCTGAGTTCGGCCCTTCGAGACACTCTGCTCGGAGCTGCAGGTGCCGGATCCACTGCTAGATCCAGATCCAGACGAGCTCGAGCTAGTGCCCTGGGAAAGGAGGGAGCTGGTGGTACCCGAGCCTGAGCCCGAACCAGAGCCCGAACCAGAACCGGAACCGGAGCCGGAAGCGACGACGGCGGGGGTCGATTGGACGACAGGGACCTCGGAAACAGTGGTCTCTTGCTCGGTGGGAACCTGGCTGGAGGCAACGACGGCAGGGGTGGCATCAGTGGCAGCTTCGGGAGTCGAGGCAGGGAGCTCGTAGGTGCCAGTAGATCCAACAAAGACAGACAGGACACTGTTGATAGTGTCTGGAAGGCCACCCGTAGCGACGGTGCGCTCGCCACTATCAGTACTAGAGGGCAAAGCAGGAGTAGCCTGGCCATTGCTAACAGCGGGGGAAGTCTCAACCGATGACGGCGCCTCGTTCGAAGCAAGAGTGCTGGCAAGGCCATCAGTAGAAGCGGCACAGGCGCTGACAGTGTGCATGACGGTCTTGGTGACAGTGATGACTTCCTCGTCGTCAGTCTCAGGCTGAGTAGCACGCTTGCTGGCAGAGGATGGGGAGTAGGTGTTGCCCTGAACCCAATTCTTGACAACATCGCCGCCAGCGAGGATAGAGTCGCCATCGACGCCGGTAACAGCGACCTTGGAGCCAGAGAAGTCGACATTTTGCAGAACGAGAGTGCCACCGCCAATGGGGACACTCTCCTTGTTCCAAGCAGTGACGATACCAGTGGGAGTGTTGGTGAGCTTACTGTCGAGCATCATGACGGAGCCAACAGTCTGGTTGCTGGGAGAGTTGGACATGTTAAGACCAACCTCACAGTTGTTGATGTCGAGAGACTTGAAGGTCCAGGCCCAGTTCCAGTTCATGAAGATCGCAGTCTGGCAGCCGTTGAATTTCAGGTTGCGAGTGGTGAACTGCTGGTTGCCGAGGAACATTCCGTAGTTACCGCCGTTGAAGGTAAGGTCGGACATGAAACCACCAGAGCCGTTGTCCATGAAGATACCCTGCTGCTTGTTGGCAGCACCACCACCCTTGACCATCTCGAAACGAATGTTCTGCAAGCTGGTGGCTTGACCAACCTGCCAGTGGATACCAGCACCGGAACCCTTGGGAACCGCGGTCAGATCAATGACCAAGTTGCGAATGGCACGGAAGAAGTTGTTCTGGTTGGTAAACCAGTTGTCGCCATTGTCCTCGTATGGGTCGGCATCAATGACTGCCATTCCAGCGAAGGCAGCGGAGGCCTTGATCACAGGTAGCTCGGCGGCATCACCGACGATCTGGGTGTAGTAATACTGAACAATAGGCTTGGAAACAACATAGGTACCGGGGGGGAAGTAGACAAGGGCAGGAGTAGTAGTTGACGAATCACAGCCTTTGCCGCAACGTCCACCGGACGAAATGGCCTTGTTGATGGCAGCAGTATCATCGGTCGAGCCATCACCTAGAAACACACGGTTAGTATGATAGAGCTGGAGGGCCTTCATGTCTCGTGACAAGCTTACCTTTAGCACCGAACTCCTTGACGTTACGGAAGACCTGATAGTCGGCGTTGCTGTTGAAAGGAGCGACACCTTGGCGTTTGATACTGCCGACCCAGTAGCTTGAGGCCGCTGGCTCGGTGACTGCGAGTTCTTTGGTGTTTGGGGTCATCGGAGAGGCGCCAACCAGGGCAGTCGGAAGACCAAGCAGCAAAAAGATATGGGCCAAGAAGACCATGATGGATGTTTGGAAGATCATCTTCAAGATGAGAGTCGCTGGTCCGGCAGCGAATGAAAATTGCGAATGAAGCTTAACAGTACACCTGTGGGATGAAACGAGTTCAGTAACCAGTACTGAAAGGCTTCAAAGTAGAGCTTTCGTGGCGACGCTTAAACCAGAAGCGATCGCGAGCAAAGATATGAGAGGTGGAAAAAAGAGAAAGATGCGAATGCGAATGCAGTTGAGGGTGCTCCCTGAACTTGAATGAATGAATATGAAGAAGGCAGCTCCGGCCTGGTCGTGGATGCAAACCGAGTGGATCTATACTTCCCCGGACGGTCGCAACAACTTCAGGTTGAAGGAATGAAAATGAATGATGGGCAGGAACGACAAGAGAGTGACGAATTCCAGATGAATTCAAGCGATAAAGAAAAAAAATAAGAAAGGAGATGAAACGATGAAGAAAGACACAATGGCGAAGAAACAAAAGGGAGATCTACTCCGTACTGCCGGGGGATAAATAAGAGTGGACTCACCCTCAATAGTTGTACTGAATATTACCGACGAACAGTAATCACACTGTAAACCACGACGAAATCTCCCGAATCGTCAAGTGCTGCGCCTATCACACACCGCAGTCTCTGACAACCCACCAGCACCCGCCAATCGCAGAGCCCGCTGGGCGTATCGCCTGCGCCGCTTGAAACGGAATGGTCGAGAGGTGAAACGCTGAGAGAGTCGATCGCTGGGCCTAGTGTTGCAGATTCACTGGTGGAAACACTTGCGGGTCGCTGTCGACCTCTAGTAAATGAGCAGGAGTGGCCACGGGCGGCACTAGACACGGCTTTTGATTCTTTCTTCAAGAATGAGAAGCGGGATATTCAAAGGTTGCAAGATTGCTAAAAGGACAAAAATACCCAACAGTAGGGCCTAAGTCAAGCAAAGGTGCAAAAAGGGTCCTCACACGGGCGTGGATCGGGGTTCTACATGCTATATACCCTTTTACTCGCCCTCCCAAAGGAAAAACAGGGTATGCTAGATCGTCCATTCCTTTCATCTGGGATTTTTCTCGTCGCATGGGAGGAAACTGCCGCGTCGGATGCCTCTAGGGATGACTGGATGTTATTTCCTGGTCGAACCGCCAGGGGAATTATGTACGGGATGTGGGACGAGTGACATGCTTCGGTATGGGATGAGCAGAGCTCGTTGCCCCCTCATCGACCTCCTCTTCCTCCTCTAGAGCTGCCCTTGGTGGAGCCCTTCGTCCTGGCTAATTATTGTGATGGACAGATAGACAGGTCTAAACCGTTCCGCGAGAGGGAATTGACCTGTGCGCCCTGTCTAGGCCTTGGTAGAAACACGATCATCCCGGCGCAACTGTAACTGGGCAACACAATCATGCCGCTTAGAGGGGTCAGGCTCTATCACGAGGGGTACGTGCTGGTTGCCGTTGGTCCTGAAGCCCCGCGAAGCCACCTCAAGAGCCAAGCATGCCGTTGTTATGGAAGCACATTCCGGGCATGACAAGCCATTGAGAGAGACATTCCCGATGACGATGGCGATAGCGACAGATCCGTGTTCGCGCTAATTCGTCTGGAATCTCCCGGGATAAGAATTCCGCCCTGAACAGCACGAACGAGGATTTCGAGGGCCACACGCGGCCAAGCTTTGCCCCTGAAGGAGGTGACCCGCATTGGTGGAGGTTAGTGCTGGCTGGTGGAGGTTAGCACGCAGGCTTCACGCGAGGATCTACCGAGCTATTCCGGGCCAATGAAAGGGCTATGATCGGAGTATTGCCGGGGGTTAGTTATCAGTTGTGAGGACCTGGGTGGTCTTAATCTCACCTCTGGCTGAAGTTGATTGTAGAAACTTGAAGGTCTCTGTTTTCCAAGGATGTCCACAATCGTGACTAATCCGAGACCGCGGTTTTTCCCATGTTCCACAAATGAATGTGTAAACAATGGCGATAGTACCTGGGAACTCATAAATATAACTAGTAGGCTAGTACTAGTAGATTTGTTAACACCTACACTGTATTGTTTAACTTCAAGTTGAATGCTTCAATTGATCCAGACTCTCCAGGTCATCTAATCGATCGGCAGTGCCACCGTGGCTGAAGAAAATATGTCGCACTTCTATGCTGTATCTTCGCGTTCCGGTGAGCCCGGTCCTATATATTTACTAAGATGCATGAAAATTATGGTTGCCTTTGGTTGTGCGTACTGCCGCGCGTCCGGTGGTCCGGCACGGTCCGTACAACTGAATGGGGCAATGTGGCGCCTCAAAGTACGGGTAGTCAAGTTCATTTGAGTGACCGCTCCAGGACGCGTGAAAGCCTACGCACTCCCTCAGTCAGGTGACGCGGCTCTGCCCATGCAAAACAGAGTCGAATCTGGCTAGCAAATCGGTCGCTTGAACCGTTAGGATCGCCCTGTACCTGGAAAAGAGTACCGGGGGCTAACCGCAGCTTCTCTTCTGTCTGCGCCTGCGCCACAATGTCTACAGCGCGCAGGGGAGATGGCAGGGTGATCCACATGAAATACCCGCCAGCCACGTTCGTTGAAGCCTGGGCCACTGTTACACCTAGTGGTACCAGGTGCTCCTGGACGGCCGATAGCAACAAGTGGTACCGCTCCGCATAGGCTGGCTGCAAGACTTCGCGGATATGCTTCTCTAGAAAACCTGAAGGCAGCAGCTGATCGATAATGGTGGAACACAGGTGGCTGGGGGCACCACCGGAGCGGGAGCAGCCTCTAAGAGCGATATCGCACGTCAGCTCATGTACGTTTCCCATGGGATCGGCATGGTCTCGAAAGTCATGGACCAAAGGGACCACGCAAGAATCGTGAGGACTTACACCTGCGATGCTCCATATGCAACCTTCTCCGATGCTTCGACCCAGCCAGTGCGGGCCCCTGGTCCAAGGAGCTTACTGAAGCTACCATTGCTGATGGTATGACCCCATTCATCGATAGGGCCGCCATCAAGATAGCGGTCTACGTCCACCAAGCGGGGGACACATGCCTGGTTGGGGATTGACAGTTCCTCACCCGGCATCGCCGACCACTGTAAGAAATCATAAACATCATCTGTGATCAGTAATGCATCATATTTCCGGGCGAGGCGAACGAGCTGCTCGCGGTGGCCCAGAGACATAATCTTCGTGGCGGGATTGGAGAAGGTGGGGATGGCATAGATGACATATTTGTAGATCTTTCGCCAGGGTCGCGGTGGCTTAATTTTCTATGTCCATCACAAGTCAGTTCGGAGTTCTAGGGGTTCGGTGGTATGCAAGTGGTTCAAGTTGCAGCTGTCATGTTGCTTAGTAGTACCGGGTCCAAGTTTCCTTCAGCCTCAGCCTTGGCTTCAGCCGTACGCAAAGCGTTTTCGAGATAATCCAAGTCGATCCCTTCATCATCCTCGGGAACTCGGCGCGTACGATCTGCAAAGCCTGCATCATCAAACATCCGACCCGCTAGATGGTAAGTTGGGTCGACCATGAAGGCATTCCGCGTGTACAATGGGTCGGTGAAGACGTGGAGGATGCAGGCGAGGCTCTGACTAGCCCCGCCAGTGATGCATATACGGCGAGGCGTAATCGGGGAGTGGGGGCGATAAAAGGCCTCCAGCCACTGTGCGATGTGGACACGAAGAGGCTCGGAACCTTCATCAGGACCATACAGTAGGGCCGGGTTGGCGATGGAGGGGTTGGTCAGGACAGCCGTGGCGGAGCGGAGTAGATCGGGGGCGGGAAGGAGCGCGGGGTTAGGCCAGCCAGTAAACAGGTCGACGGGTTCGGTGGGCACAGCCATGATGGATTTTGGAGGAGGGTGGCGAAAGGAAGCAATGAAAGTGGTGTGGGCAATAGAATAAATGGAGCAGATGGAGTAGATGGAGGAAATGAATAACGTCAATCAGAGACAACATGCCCACTAGGCGGAGGTCGGAGCCGAAGATTGGGCGAGGGGTGGAAGCGAGAGCGGAACCAGAGAACCAGCAAGAGGGGGTCCGATCAATCACGATTGGAAATCTCCTGGAAAGTTCCTGGGAGGAAGCTTCGAACCGTGGTTGTTTTGTCTAGGCAGGGAGATACACCAAGGTAGAGTAGTGTGTGCCTAGGCAGTAGATGTGTACCATGTTTCCAGTTTACAATTGAGTGTGTGCCTATAGTAACCTTGGAATATATTTCCTGCATATATTTCAGCCTGGGGCTATGCTTGAGCATATTCTCTCTGCTGGGCAGATATATTATTTGCTATAGTACTCCGTACTTACAAGTACGGACCTATATTTATTTGTAAACTTTTCAAGGCTTATTCCCTTACTCGTACTAGTATCTCAAGATTTTATCCATGACTACTCATAGAAAGCGTGGGATCTGGGAGGTTGTTCATTGGATTATGCTTTTTGTGCAGCGGGCGCGGCTGGCAGGCGGACAGGTCAAGCCCGATCTATTTTGGATTATTGTTCGGCCCTGCATGCCAGTGCCAACTCTGCATAAAAGAGAGGAATAGGGGGAATAGGGGATAGTACAGAGTACAGAGTGCAGAGTGCAGACTCTACAGAATGGCTAAATAATAATTAATTATTCTGTATATTAAATATCTATAGTACGGAGTAGTTAGCATACTCATAGTAGTTGACTATGTATATTGACCACACTCAATCGGTCCCACCGGCATGAACTGAAGTGAGCTATAATTGGCATGGGAGAACCGGATCGAAAGCCCCCCCCCCGCTAGCCCCAGAAAGGTCACAGCCTTTTTTTTTCATTCATCAGTTCAAGAGAAAAAAAAAATCAATAAAATCAAAAGGCAATCCCATCTTATCATTTTTTTTTATTCTCCTGAAACGAACAAACTTCCCCTGACCCAACTTTCTTCTTTCAAGTTCCTCTTTCCAAACCCCCCCCCCTTCAGCTCTCAGCTTGACTCTCACCTTTCACTCTCCATTCCACCCGCCGTTTCTCCCGGCCATTCTTTTTAGCACATCCCTCCTGCCGATCCATTCCCGCAAACTCCCCTTGTGTTCCTCTCTACCTCAGTTGCCCCCCCCCCATCATCATCTGCCACTTCCACTTGTCTCCCCCCCCCCAATCTCCATTCCTCTTCCTATGTGTCGCAGGGCCTAATCTCCTCGCTGTTCGGTTCCCTGTTACTCTGGGCCCTCAGTTTCCCTCAAACTCTCTTCCCCTCTTCAATCCCTCTCCCTAAATCATCACTTCTCCCCCCCCTCCCCCCCAGACATCTGCAACGATGTTGTCGGCTCCCGTTAAATCGGCGAAGCGCATCTCTTCTCTCTTCTCCTTGAGTTCTCATAAGGAGCAGAACGCCAACGGGCCTCCAGCTCCTTCTCCAGGTTTAAACTCTCCATCCGACTTTTCGCAGGAACGCCGGCGACGAAGCAGCTCCCGCCCGACTCGTCATGTCTCAACTCCCAATGCTCTCTCTTCTTCGGAACCAAGGACAGTCCCCCATCCGGAGCCATTCGACCTCCCACCACCACCATCCTTGCTCGCCGTCAACCATGATTTGGCCGCCAGTGCCCCGAGTTCGCCCATCGATCGTCCAGGCAGTAGGGGTCGGGATGTGAGCTTGAGCCGCCCCTCAAGTTCCGCTGGGTTGGCCATCCCGGGTTCCGCGCCAGACTCCCGCCCGAGCACGCCATCAAAACGTCGGAGTTGGATGCCGGGAATGGGAGCTCGGTCGCGGGCGGGTTCAATGGACAGACGGGTGCCCCCGCCAATGCTCCCAGGAGCCTGGATCGCAGGACTGGACCAAAAGGTGGTTTATGATATGGGTCCCTTGTCCAGAGGTGAACAGGTACGTCTCAAAAGACAGGAGGGGAGAATGAAAACTGGAGGTGTCGCCAAATCGATTGCTAACAGCCCAACTCAGGTCTCGGAACTCTGGAATGAGCAAGGAGATACATACGTCTATTTGTTCCCTCAAAACACGGGCCGCCCGGCGTCATTCAAGGTCGATTCCACCATCTTCGCTGAATCCCCTTCTCTGAACCATCTCTGCCGCGGAGCCGACTCGAAATCCAATGGCCTCGAACAACCCACCCGTTCGCTATCCCTCGGCAACCCGATATCGCCCCCCCTTGACACCGCAGGACCGGTTGGCGGACAACGATAATGATAGCTCAGGGAGCCAGCGAATGGCATTCATGGATGATGTCCAGGATGAAGATCAAGAGCTGCATCTTTATCTGCCGATCCCGCTGAACAGTGATGTCTCGAACCTGAGTTGCCGCCTCACCCAGGAGGATACAGAGACTTTGCTTCTCTTCCGCAACCTGTTTGCTTTCCTCCTCGGACAGTCCCTCATCGCTAGTCCCAAATCAGCTACCCTTTTCAGTATTTTCATGGACGTTGCCGTCCTCCTCGCACGCTTCGAATTCAGCAACCTGGACGGATCGAACTTTGGTGAGACTGCTACTTCGAGCTTTAGCAACTACTGCGATGAACTGCGCCTGGCCGATGTTCGGAAGAGTCGCGAGAAGACTATTGAGGCCATCGTCCTTGGCGAGAGACTGCGCTACTACCCTCTGTACGTCGAGGGATTTGTACACGGTGTTGGCAAGCTGGATGAGATCAAGCAGCTTCGAAGCCCTAAATTCACATTTATCCACCCGATTACCCAAAAGCGCCTGGAGCGTGGTTTCATCGATCTGGACTCCCGTCTACGGGGCCTTTACGGAAAGCTCGAAGACTTTGATTTCCCTTCTGTCTTCTCTGGTATCGCAAACTCCACCACCTCAGCCGAAAGCAAGGTTGTGCGCTTCAAGACCTGGAAATCTGCCTTCCTTGAATTCCGTCGTTTCACCATGAGCTTCTACCGCACCAAGTATGGCTCTTGGCCACCCAAGGCTCGCTCCAAGAAGAATGAGTTTGAAGAGAGCGGCCTGAACCGTCAGCTTCTGCTCGACTTGTATCGGGACTTCTGTGATCTCTACGATATGTTGGTCGACCGCACTGACCTCACGACTCGCACAATCGATTTATCTGGTGCGGGTGGTGACGCGAAGTCCACAGACCACAAGGATGTGACCGTCCGCGCTGTTCGCCAGGTGCTCAGTGAATACGATCGCAGCACTCCACCCGTCCTCCCGCCCATCCCCTTCGATATTCCGCAGATGCCTAATCTGCAGCCTCTGCACCGAAAGCCCCTCGACGCCAAGAAAGAGGCTAAGCAGCGCGGGAAGAAGCTGAAGAGTTCTGATACCAACGCTGTCCTGATGGGCTCTTACACCCGCGAGAGCATTCGCAGCACTCAGTTCATCGAAGAGTTCATGAAGTTCGAGCGACGCTGCGCCCACGGCAAGACTGTCGACGATTTGGTCGATATGCGTTGTGGCCAGTGGATCTTCCTCTACTCCGTCATCCAGTCTATGCCGATGTTGACCGTGGATGTCCCCGAGGTCCAGTTCAACCAGGGAGTTGAATACTTCCTCTGTATCGCACCCCGTGGTGGTGCACCTTGGATCCAAAATGACACCAAGACTGCTCGCAGCTGGTTCGGTGTTGCCGGTGGTGCAGGTGTGGTCAGTCTCCCCTCCGACGTGGTGATCAATGGTGTGGAAGGCGTCTACCGTCGTAGCCACTGCTGGCAACTTGCCGAGCAATGGGCCGAAGCTGGTGCTCTCCTCCCGCCGCCGAATGTCGAAGATGCATACGAAGAAAACGAATCGTCCATCTCCTCGCCCTACCCGGCCCAGCAGTCCTCGGCCGGATCTTCTTCAGACCCACAGCCCGGATCCGCGCTGGGCGTTCATGGCGGTCTCACCCCGCCACCCCCAGCAATCCCGCGCACCCGATCTCCCGGTGCTGCGAACCGGGCCGAGCACCGACACTCCATCTATCCTGGCCTTGAAGCACTGCCGTTGCCGGCAGGCATCGCTCCCATTGAGCCTCCTGCTCGCCCCATTAGTCGCTTCAACCCCAACATGAGCTTCGACGACATCTTGCGTGAAGTTCCTGACAAGAACAAGAAGAAGCGCTAGATCAATATTGCCTTCTGAGGCTTGTATACCTTCACATATTGCCGACCTCATTTTTCGGCCTTCCAGAATTCCACTATCTTTATTTTCTTTGGGCTTGTTGATAGGCGCATCTTTGTTTTGATGACCGCATTGGGATGGAACGGCGTGTTGCACAGGGAATCCAAGAGAACAAAAAGCAACCATCTAATTGATATGGGGGGGAGCATGGAGGGTATCGCACCGGTTCATCATAATTATTAGCATCTCAAGCATGAGCATCTCCAGAGATGGAGGAATTGCGTTGTCTTGTCTTTTCATGTGGTCATTTTTCCTTTTCATTTTTTCTCTCTCCTGTTTCTCTGCTGGATTCCCCCCCCCCTGATTCTCGTAATTTTTTTCCACACTTCTCTACTTGGAGACCCCATAAAAAATAGAGATTTAATATCTGCATCTTGAGTGTCTTTCTTGATGATTCCGTGTTCCTTATGTTATGTACTTCACATTAACTAGGATCTGTAGATCTTGAATAATGATAAAGGACATCCCCTTCTTCACAAACAAACTGCGAAAGAAGTACTCGTACTCTATATGCTACCACTGCTGAGTCCTGTCACGGGTATCCCCAATTTTAACTCCAAAGCCAAAAGGTTCCCATTTCCACATGGGAACGTTGGAACCATGGAACCTCCATCTATACTCGGCAACTTAGAGTTGTCAACAACCCAAAGTTGCCCTCGATTACCCATCTATTGCATTCCTCCATTTATGCAGGTATCGTCAAACGGCGGCTAGGCTTGCCTGTCCCACTTAGCGCATCCAAAAGAAGTCAGAGGGCAATACGAGGCTGAGCCGCCACCGCGCCCATTTGCCAATGGGCAATTTTCACCCTGGATCAGGGGAGAGACGTCGATTATCTTGCCGCAGATCTTTCCCCTAAATAAAGCCAGCGCCCCCAAAGTTCTCGAGTCTCTGTCGCCATCGAAACTTGCGAAAACTAAACTTTGCTGCACCGCCCACCTCCCGCTCCCCATTTTCGGGGAAAGTCCTGCTCAAGAAAGGGCCAAGCATTCCTGTGCAACAAGCATCAAACCATGGATTAACCTGCCCTCGAACCCACCGAATATCACCCCGATCCTCCCCACCACCATGCCTCGGTCATCCAGCATGACAAGCGACGGCCACGAGAGGCTGGAGCCGCGTCTGCTGCGGGCCGCGGAGCACGACGACGTCAACTCACTACAAAAGGTCATCGGCCTCGCCAAGGAATATGGGCAATTCAATGAGAACTTCCTGCGGATCGCCGTGATGCGCAGCGCCGAACGAGGCTGCGTCAAAGCGACAGAATTTCTCCTACAATGTGGTGCCAAAACCGATGTCGCGGGGAACCGTCTTTCGCCGCTCCTCCGCGCCGTCGAGCGTGATCACTATCAGATCGTGCGACTCCTTCTCGACCATGGCGCTTCGTCTGATAGTACGGATAAAGAGGGGCGTACGGCGCTGATGACGGCTGCTTGGAAGAACCACGCGGATGTGTTGCAGCTGTTGATTATGCGAGGCGCGAATGTGAATGCGCGCGACCACCGCAAGCGCAACGTCTTGCACAATCTAGCGGCCGATAAAGAGCAGAAATGGGGCTGGAACAATGAGATCATTTCGCTGTTATTGCGCACGGATTGTCAGATTGACGGCGTGGACGGCCAGGATGAACTGGGTCGGACACCGTTGCATTGGGCTTGCGCGACGGGCAATTGGGGTCTTGCAAAGTTACTCCTGACAAGACCAGATGGTCCTAAAGCCGAGATTGATGCGACCGAGCTACGTGGGAAGACCGCTCTGCATATTGCGACTGCACATGACCGCGTGGATATCGTGCAGCTACTCTTGCAACATGAGGCATCTGTCAACGCCTGTAGTGATGGTGGTTGGACGCCGCTTCATAATGCTTGCGATAAGGGTTGTGTGGAAATTGTGCAAATTCTCTTGCGTGAGAAGGCACATATCAATAGCCAGCTTCTCAATGGAGTGACGCCACTTCATCTTGCGGCTCAAGGTGGTCATCGCGAAGTTGTAGAATGCCTGCTGGAACGCCCAGACTTGAAAAGGCGGGTTCGCGATACCTTTGGCAGTACTCCATTTCTGCGTGCAGCGCAGTGTAAAAGAAGGGATATCGTTCTTCTCTTGGCGCCGTTTAATAATGTCGAGTCCCTCTCGGAGGATGTGCGAGATGCGAGCGCCGCATTTGATGCGACAGTTGTCGACTTCGGAAACTTCCACAACGAGAATCGCGTCAAGCGCATGTCGGTGTATAATTTGCTCTACGGACGAGACTCTGAGAACCCGCGCAAGCAAGCAGTGACGACCATACCCGCTGATAGTCGAGCCACGGATTTTCGTTGGATTCATCTGCCTGCAAACAACATGGCTTGGGTGGAGGCTTTGCTCACGAAAAGCTTCATCGAGGAGGGTGCACACGATGTGGATGGCTTCAAAGGATTAGAGAAATCTTTTAATTATCAACATCGAGGCCAGAAGATCCACTCGCACTTCATGCGGCCATTGTGTCATAATACACCCCGTACGGTGTTCCGTCGGAGGGAAGAAGAAAAGCAAGAAGAACACTCTGATGCCGGACAATCGAGCATTGCAGACAACAGCTCCATTCTCCGAAAGCAAAAGGCGTCATATGGCAAATCTGACCGTTCTGATTCTCATCCCGACGAGGCCACTCCAGGCAAAAAGGCCAAGAAGAACAAAACCAGCAAGACGAACAGCAACCCTGGTACTCCCAAGACCGAATCAAAGAGCAAGTCACCGTGGGGGCCGAGCGATAAACAAGCGCGCTCATCTCTCGTCGCATCATCACTATGCAGAGACCACCAAGGTACCATTCCTGCCTGCAATGTCAACGTGTTCATGCCATATCTGCACTTTGAGACCGCCGAGCGGCGAGAAAGAATGCTCGAAGCCATTCAGCGTGCGCAGCTGCTGAATCTTCAGCCACGCGCGTTGAGAAGGACTCGGACCCGTGATGAAATGCTGATCGATGCGCACCTCTCATCATCGACAACGTCCCTCCATGTCCGTCGAACATTGGACCAGTTTTTCTATCCAAATATCGATACACAGAGTCGTGACCAAGACCAAGTGGTATATCGATATCAAACCAAAGGGCCTGGTCGAGAAGGCCCAGAGACGGACCCGAAAATCTTCATGGTTGATCAGCTATGGATGTGGATATTGGGAACAAATCTGATTGTTACCAGCTTCCCCCAACGATGGGATCAGCCAAAGAATGACCCGTTGAATGTTCTGGATGGAATCATTGAAGACATTAATTCCAAAACCCGCGAACCCGTCAAATCTGTCTACGACCTTGCCATCACCATTACCAACCGATGCTCCGGAGTATTCGACCGCCACCGTTTAGGAGACGACGAGTATCAATTCTTGGACATGTTTGAATCTTCCATCGGTATAGCCACCGACAAAGAGACTCTTCTCTTCAACCGCTTCAATCATGCCTCTGCTCAGGCATCCTACTGGCTGAAAAGCCATCGCAAACTAAACCCCTTCACTGAGAAGTCGGCCGATAGATTCCAAGAAGATGACGAAGATTGCATCGACCAGGACTATTACGATGACGGACAGCCGCTTTTCGTTGACAGGCTGTTAGATATTGGCGAAGAGACCGACCTTCTGGCAGAGACCAAAGATATTCGTGATGAGCTGAACATGATCCGGACTGTTCTGGAGCACCAGAAACATGTCCTATCAGACTTCCAGGAAGTCATCTGCGAGATATACCACGGGCAGCACCGCTCTCAATACGATGTGAAAAAACGGTTCAAAGATCAGCAACGCATGATTGACATGCATCTGAAAGATCTCGATCGCATGGACAAGCAAGCAGAGCGCATTTACCATTCCATCACAGACCTGCTAGACCTGAAGCAGAAACATGCCAACGCATTTGAAGCCCGCTTCGCCCGTGACCAAGCCGCCGGTACAACCCGCCAGAGCAAAACAATTATGGTTTTTACAATTGTCACCATTATCTTCTTGCCACTATCGTTCATCGCGTCCATCTTCACCATCAACTTGAAGCAATTCGAAAATTTGAATCTCAACTATGTCGCGAAATACACGTTTGGAATTGGCTTCGCCATTTCCATCCCGCTTATTTGGGTTGCACTCACTGTCGATGACATCGGAGACTTTTTTCGCATGGGCAGTAAGCACGGTTGGAATTGGCTCTCTCTTCGAAAAAAGAAGCCGAAACCACCGGCTGACCGTGGCGATGGGCAACTGCAGGCGCTGGAAATTGAAAAGATCCTCAGTATTGCGCGGACCCGTCGGAGCGGAGAACTTGACTACGCGCCAAGCTTGTTGCCTGTATCCACGCGTGGTACTAGTGCTTCCAGACGACCTGATATCTATACTGGAATGCCGAATGGAACTATTCGGAAAAGCTTTGAGGTACGGAGGAGCGTGGACTACAGGCCCTATACATGATGTTATGAGATACGATGAAAATTTGTCACTTTTTTTCGATTTGATTTGCTTGGGCCACGCCCGTATAGTTGGAAGGGAAGTGGGGGAAAAAAAAGAGATGGATACTCCGTCTAGTATGCTAGTAGTAATATAATGAAAAACCGCATGAATGTATGAGCAATTGAAAATGCCTCGGTCATAATAATCATCCGCTGTACATCTGGACTTCCTCCGAATGAGCCGAATGCAGTCTCCCAGCCTTACCATCTCCCAGAATAACGGCAGGATGGTAGACATTCATCATAGCCATAGCGATGAACATCAGAACCGCATCAAAGATGTACATATACACCTCATGAGTCATGAGATACCCATTAAAGCCACCCTTATATTCAATCAAGCGGAAAATGCACCGAATGAGAATAAGGATACTAACAACGTACAGAGCCAACAACACAGTGACCCAATTCCGTTGCCTCCAGCCCTGCGAGCGAGTAATATCCCGATCAGACTGAGACTTGGATGTCGGC